AATTTATTAGCTATTGACACCTGCCATGTCGATAGCTTCCTTTATTTAGTAAATGAAAAGACACAAATCAAATATAACTAATTACTGGGACCTTTTTTACGAAACAGAAACTAAAAAAAAAAATCTAGATTTAAAAATTGACTATAGGAGGTAGGTGGCGATGGTGGCACACACCTTTAATCCCAGCACTAGGGAGGCAGAGGCAGAGGCAGAGGGAGAGGCAGAGGCAGAGGGAGAGGCAGAGGCAGAGGGAGAGGCAGAGGCAGAGGGAGAGGCAGAGGCAGAGGGAGATGGAGCTCTGTGCGTTTGAGGCCAGCCTGGTCTACAACGTGAGTTCCAGGACAGTCAGGGCTACACAGAGAAACCCTGTCTTGAAAAACAACAAAACAAAAAAACCATAGGTATGCAAGATGATGCTAATGAGGAAATTTGGGACACACAGACACACACACACACACACACACACACACACACACACACACACACACACACACACATACACACACAAGGGCAAGGTGGCAGCCTATTTTTTCTTCTGTACACGAGTAATGTGCATTTGTGTTCACATATGTGTGGGTGTTTGCTACCATATTCATTGAGGCAGGGTTTCTCAATCAAACACAAAGTTTATGGATATGACCTGTCTGGTTAGGCAGCTTGCCCTGGAGATCCTGTCTGTCTCTGCTTTCTAATGCTAGGATTACAAATGAACTCCACACTTGCCTGGCATTTATGTGGATTATGGCATACAAACTCTGGTTTACATGCCACAGCAAGTGCTTTAATTGCAGAACCATCTCTCTAGCCCAAGCAGCCCATTAAAAGATTTTTTTATTCTTTGAAAATTTCATGTATGTACATAATGCATTTAGACCTTATCTACCCCACCCCTACCACCCTCTACCTTCCCCCTGGGACCTCAGAATCCATTTCCCTCTCAACTTCATATCCTCTTTTAAAATTATTATTAATAGTACTGACCAATTATTTTATAATTTATTTTATTATTTTTAATTATGTATATAATATATAAGTGCATGTCTCTGTGTGTGACTATGTACTCGTGAGTACAGATGCCAATGAGGCCAGAGGTGGCAGACTTCCCTCTAGCTAGAGTTATAGACGGTTATAAGACACACAATGTGGCTGCTAGGAGTCAAACTTAGGTCTTTTGAAAGAGCAGTATGTGTCCCTAACCTCTGAACCATTTTTCCAGCCCAAGTCCAATTATTGTTGGCCATTTGTACATAGGTGTGGGCCCATCCACTGGGGCATGGCCACATCCACAAAAACAGTTACTCTCTTTTCTTCAGCAGCCAACAACAGTCAATAGCTCCTTACTTACAAGTTTGGGGTCTCAGGAGTTCCTCTGCTATCCATGCTGAATTTTTGACTGGCTTGATCTTGTATGAGCAAACACAACTCCTAGCAGCTTATTTTTAATGCTTGAACTAATGATGTTTCCAGATATATGTTCCAAATAAAGAAACATAGCATTGATTGCTTTTGCCAAAACAATTTTGTCTATCTAAAATTATGAAAAGACAAAGAAACATGAAAAACACATTAATGTTACTAAGAGAAATTTATGTTTAAAATATATCAATTTCACCTATTACAACAGAAGAAATAGTTGGGTGGTGGTGGCACTTGCCTTTAATCCCAGCATTTGGGAGGCAGAGGCAGGCGGATCTCTGAGTTAGAGGCCAGCCTAGTCTACAAATCAAGTTCCAGGATATCCAGGGCTGTTAACCAAGAGAAACAATGTCTCAAAAAGCAAACAAAAAATTGTACAAATAAAAGGCATAATGCCAGATTCAGGTAAGTAAACACAGCAATGAGTATTTGTTGTTAAAAAAGGAAACATTTTATTTCTTGACATCAGCAAGGAAAACTATGAAAGAGTTGTTATGGAAAGAATAAATATGTACAGATCCAGCCATCTCTTTCTCCAAAACTGGACAAACATTTGCAAAATTTTCCTTCATCTATTAATATATCCCCAGAGTAGCCAGCCCACGCAGACCTGGGGCATTCACATGTCAAAATATTCCATAAAGATCTGGGAACAGATATTTTTGGCAGAAAGAAATAGTTAATGTGCAGAGAAAGACTACCGATGACATAATTCAGAGTTACAGACCGAGTCAGGAACTCCTTGTAATGACAAAATGTTAATGCCAATCTACAACATCGGAGTCATTTGATATCACAGACTCTTACAACAAGAGGAGCAGCTGCCGTTTGTGTTGCCAAATAGATGGCAAAATATGGAGAGGTAGCACTACCTCGATGCCTGTTTTTACAGAAAAAGAAAGCCAGGTGTGGTGGTGCCTGCCTGTAATCCCAGCCCTGGCGAGGCTGCGGGCTTAATTCACCTAGTTAATTCCAGGTAAATGGGAGATTTAATGTCTTAAAAAAAACAAAAAACAAAAAACAAGGAGCATGGCTCCTAAGGAAAAACATCCAAGGATGCCCCTATGTACGCCAAGTGTGTGTGGACGGACAGACAGATACACACACAGTTTGTCTTAGCACACTTTTCCCTGTGTGCTGAACCTCCAGGATTGATGCCATAGTGACAGCTCCATGAACTCTAAGCTTGATCAAGCCTTGGATGTCTCAGTGGGAATGGGCAACCCACAAAGTCCTTCTGGAAGCCATTAGACAAAAAATCGGTGGGCTTATTCGTGGGTTTCCGAATGTACAGTCTCTGTAGGTGGGCAGTTGAGTGCGAGAGCATTTTGTGCCCTTTCCCCCAGATACCTGCTCAGCTATCACTTCCTGCCAGAGGTCTTCTCTGACCATCTTCCCGGGCCGGAGACCTCAGCCTCAACATTTTCTCACCATTGCTTGCTGCTGAGTTTCACGACTATCTGTCATCACCTTGTGTATCTGCTCAAGTTCATCTACTCAGAAGGTATGCGCCCCCCACCTCCCACCCCCAACCCGAGAACAGGAGCTGGTCTTCCGGTGCCTTGAACTTTGAACCTGTTGGGTTTCCAGACACTCGGGGATTGAAGGACCGGCCCACGATTTGGTAGGTATGTGTGTGCTCGGGTCTCCCTACGGTGATTCAAACTCCTGCGTGCTGCCGCAGGCTCGGGGAACCTGGGGCGACAGGCGTAGGGCGGCGCACCTGGCTTTCTGCGGGGAACGGGACGCAGGGCTACAGGGACGCTGAGCCTGCACCCCGTTAGCCGCGCTGCAGCCTCAGCTGGAAATCTCTTCTTAAAAACCAGGTATTTGCATCTCGTCCGGCCACACCCACCCTCCGCATCCTTTCCCTCAGTCGGCGCGCCAGATGTCTCACTTACCCAAGCCCTCCCGCCAGACCGCCTAGAGGCCACCC